GTGTAATATACGCAATTAGAACCACCGCGTTTGATTGTATTTATTGGCGAGATTCAGCCTGGCAAACCTGGGAATATGCGCTCGTTTCTGCCGCGTTTATTCACATACATCACATAAGACAAAGCATCCTAACCCTGAAGACGGAGGCAGAATGTGTCTCCGAAACGTTAGTATCCATCCACAAGACTAAACTCTCAAAAATCGCCAGAGTGAATGCCTGAAACATATCTGAGGCGCATAGACGTTGGGAATGACTGGGTAGAATGCTTCCCCCCCTCTGCCTACTGTTGTGCTCCCCTCCAGTCCCCATCTGGCCTATGTCAACCGAAGCGCTTGTCGCTCCCAAAGGCTATGTGATAATCACCATCAACTTTCATGTGAAATGCTGCTGATTATTGTTGTCTACAATGTGACACCGTGATGTCTGGTAGATACTAAAACAACGTTTCAGGAAAAATATGGGGGCAGAAGGTGCGTCCGAAACGTTGTTATATGGAATTCCTGGACCATCTCAGAGACTATCAGCTTCTCTAGAATTTTTTGTGGGGCGCCCTCTCTGACGAGAGGGCGGGTCTGTCTTTTACATATACTGCTGGCCTTTGCCAGAGCAATCTTCCTTGGGACTCGCGATCATATTTTACTGTCTCAAATTTGAGACTTCCCTTTTTGGCAGTACGTCTACATGCCGCAGAATATTGAATGTAACACAGAGAAATTATTTCCTGCCAGAAATGCTCGTACCAGTTCGCAGATATTCAGAAAGTAAATGGACTCATGTAGTTAGACAAGCTGCAGACTCGTCGCCATTTGCAAATTACAGGACCACTGTGTAGACCAGAGTAACGTAAATATTGGTGTGTGTAATTCCAGCATTTCCTAGTTTCATATTTTTCTGTCGTGTTGATGTGTGTAGAACATGGAACTGCGTCTGCTATAGCCGCTTCTACGGCCGACTCGTCTCCTGTTAATGCAGAGTTGAATAAACACGATGAAACATTATCGAAACTGATCACATGATCGCCAAGTGTGAATGTTTCTGACGTTGCTGTGTTGCAGTAAACACTGGTATTATTTCGGGGGCTTGGATGGCTCAGTCGGTTTAGCGACTAGGTTACGTGCTGAGCAACCGAAGGGTCGGGGATAGATTCCCGGTAGCGATTAAGAGATTTTTATTTTGTCCGTAGTGTCCAGACTGGCCAAATGTCTGGTACGTACCGGGGGTAAAACGGACGGAACGTGAAACTGACCACTCACCTCCTGTTGCCGAGGTTAGGAATTTTGTTACTTGAATAAGACGAAACTGCTAATATATTGAGTAAGCAGTAGCGGTCAGCCGACAAGGTCTGGTCCTCGAGATTAGGGGTTGGGCATGGAGCTAACAGCTCCTCGCTACAAACGTTAGCATATTACGAATCGGTACACAGGCTCTCGGGGCTTGAAGTAATACTTTCGAATGATGTAAACAACGTTAATAATTTGTAGGGGTAAAGGGCAGCCGGAGCGTAAGGCTGACAACCTCAGCGCTATGTGTGTTGACCAGTTGCTTAGAAAATATGGGAGCCTCGACGTCTCACAACCCTATGGACCTTCACGGCTTGTTACAGGGGTATCTTTTAACCTCACCATAGATTATTACAACGATCACATGAAGGAGGATATGTATGAGGCATGTAGCACGCATGACACAGAAGAACATAGTATTATTATGGTAAGAAAATCAGAAGGAAAATGCCACCAGGAAGACCTAGACATAGTTAATAGGATAGTACTAAAAGGGTAAAAGGTAAAGTTGTCCCTGTAACAGTCCGTCGAAGCCCATAGGTTTGTGAGATGTCGAGGCTTCCACGATTTTCTACACAGTCGGCTCACAGATGGCGGTGAGGTCGTCAGGCTTACGCAACGACCGCCCTTTACGCCCCAGGAAGATTCCTGGTACTCATTTCTGTTAGAGGCGGAGTCGACCCCAGGGCCATAATGCACCTGGAAGGATTAGGTCAAGTGAAAAATCCAGTGATCTCATCGGAAATCGAGCTTGTAGCATACCGCGTGCCCCGCTAAAACGGATATTAGAAATAAAAGATTTACTCTACTATTAAAATGGATCGCAAAGAAATTGGTTTGGGGAGTGTGGACTGGATTCAACTGGCTCACGATAGAGACCAGTGGCGGGCTATTGTGAACACGGCAATGAACATTCGGGTTACATAAAACGCTGGGAACTTGCTGAGTGGCTGAGCAACTGTCAACTTCTCTTTTGGATTCGCATGCAATTTGTCTGTGTCCACGCAAAGAGATTCTAGCGGAAGGAGAAGTTTCAGAAAGAAAATCTCCCCTCTCCGCTCTCCTGGAAGCCTGCAATAACCATATAAACGGATTTCTACCCTTGACGACAGCCAATATAAAACATCTGTGACGTGGGCGATGTAACTTGTTGTCTTATCGGGGATATTCTGTTCTTTTGGTCTCTTCGAAATTTCATCTGTAGTAAATTTACTTTTTATTTTATTGTTAATATGTTGGTACCAGTGGAAGTAGGATGTATCTCATCGGGGAAGTCCCGATTGCTTTGTTGCTCATCCGTTTGACCTCCATTACGATAATTAAGTAAACCCGAACAAAAATTGACGACTCTACAGTAAACACTGGCGTGTGTGTTTTGTTTATACTCGGTACTGCCAAGTTATCTCCCCTTTGTCGTATTCACGTCACAGTGCAGTGCATCAGATAAACCCTTGAAGAAGGTAAATGTTAAAGTTGACCCTGTGCTTATTATATTTTTTTTATTATTGCTAGTGGAGTGGGACTAAATCCTTTGTACTGCGGCCACTTCTGGTCTATTATACCAGCCACAGATGATAGGTGAGGGTGATTGTGGAGCAATTGGTGGAATGAAGATTGGCAGGGGAAACCGAAGTACTCGGATAAAACCTGCCCCAGCGCCATTTTGTCCACCACAAATCCCACTTGACCAGAACCGGGATCGAACCAGGGCCGCCGCGGTGGGAAGCCAGCGACTAACCGTTTGAGCTATGGCGCGGTACCAATTCTATAGAAGGTTGGATGGACGACATGGAGAAGTGAAAATTTTTGACCCTACCGAAACTCGAAATCCGGCCTCTCGGTCGTCCAGCCTGTACCCAGTCGCTATACCAACTACGCTATTCCGGCTCGTCCTTGAAGAAGGAACTTCTAAATGACATTAGAAACCCAGAAGCTTCGTCTAACGGTAACGTTCTGGACTTCTATATGGGAGGAGCTTGGTTCGAGTCTCGGCTAGGACACAGACTGAGAAGACCTAGTGCGTCCTATAGTGATTTGTATAGAACGGTGAGAGCATAATCCTTGCTTGTAGTCACGGATATGTAGGAGTTCAGTAAATCCGATTACCAATCGAAACCCCGTCTATGGTCACACACACGGACAATATAATACTCTTCATCCAGACGTGATGTTTACTTAAACGTGCTTTTTGTTTGTTCCAGGGACTTGGCCAGTAACAACATTACGGAGTTAACGGAGACTTCATTGTCGGAACTTTCCAACCTGGAGGAACTGTAAGTCCCTTTTACTTTGTTTCTACAGCTTGATACATAACGGGCCGAAGTAGAACAGCTGTAAGCTAACAAAGCGATGAGCAGATCAAGGAGGATGAGCTGGGCGGGACATGTAGCGCGCACGGGAAAGAAAAGAGTGCAAAAAAGTTTTAGTAGGAAAAGCCCGAAGGAAATATAGCGCTTGTAATGTGTAGGCATGTATGGAAGAGAAAAGTGTTAAAACTGATCGTAACGAAATGGGATGGGAGGATGTGAAGTGGATTCGTCTGGCTCAGGATAGGCAATACTTGCGGCCACGGTAATGATCCGTCTAGTTGCACAGAATTCTGGGAAATTCTCGAAGAGCTGTTGGCTTCTCAAGGACTCCACTCTCTTTAATTAGCTGTCTCTCGCCTCGCTTAATCCGTTTCTGTTATACCCTACGGTGTCGAGGTTGGTTTTTTCTCATTTCATCAATTTACAGACGGCAGGACTCCTTGGGCGGGTGATCGGCCCCGTCGCAATGCCTCTACCTACACACAGGACAACACAAACACAGAATACATACACATCCATGCCTCAATGGATTCGAACCCGCGATCCCTGCTTTCGAGTAGCGAAGACAGTGCATGCCTTAGACCGCTCGGTTACAGTGACCGGCAATGTATAAGAATAATATATAAGAATTCAGTGCGTACCTCACAGGAAACAGATCCGAACCCACGATCCCGGCTTCCGAGAGAGCGAAGACAGTGCATGCCTTAGACCGCTCGGCTACCGTGACTGTCTTAATTAGTTAATTAATTAGCGACATGAAGGCTCGTGGGTGAGTAGTTGCGCAGTACCACACATTCTTATCATCGGTACTAGCTGGAGGTAAGTGGTCAGCTTCAGTCCCTGGCCGCTTTACCCCCGGGGAAATTGTCGTAGGTACCCATTGGGTGGGCCCAGAGCTGGACTGGACGTTCTAGCCTCTGCAGGGAATCGAACCCTGGTTGTTGAGTTATGACTCAGGCGCAGCCGTCAGTAACGCTCAGTGCCGATGCATGCCATCAGAATGGAGGCTGGATGTCCCGACTACTGTTATTTCAAGTATAGGCCGTCTTTCTAGACCTGGCCTACGGGTGCGTGTGAGGGGAAGTGCATCTAACCGTACTGTGAGTGACATCGAGGGAGGAAGTGAGGCGCACTGTCACTAATCCCTGTTATAACTCCATGGTTCTGGTCCGCAAGCGAAATATAGCGACCGAGCGACCGCCGTTTGTCGGAGAAGTTGGTGCCAACTTTTGCGGATAGAGGGTGTCACGTGGTCAGCGCAACAAATCCCCACGGCCGTCAATTTCGTTTTTCTAGACCGGAACCGTTATTTCCTTGAAATAGCTCCCCAATTATCATCACGAGGCTGAATGGACCCCGTTCCAGACCCACTACTAGTCAGAAAATCTGGTAGCGCCTGGAATCGAACCTGGGATCTCTTGTTCTGTAGCCAGGAACTCTGACCACTAGAACACAGAAGCGGTCTAATCCCTGTTATAACACATCCTCACATCCTTATCTCAGTGTATTCGAGTGAATCTACTGCACAGTCAAGACTAAAAAGTGTGACGTTATTCAGTGTGTTACGAGCCTATCGTGTTTAATGTTGTGCCTGTGTGGTACAAATATCTGCACACTTGCAGTCTCTACCGAGTTTCTCTAGGATTTCTTTTCCGGAGATTTATAATTTACAAGTGGGCAAATGCTTCGAAGCTTAGAACATAATTGCCGTTAGTATTTTTATGTTTCTTCTACGATAGGGTAACCTGCTGAAGAGAGATGTGTTACATGATGTTTAATTCATTCAGCTAAAGTAGTCAACCCCCTCGTTGGTGTCTCCACCTTATCGTGGTGAGGGGGTTTGAGTATGCCAAGGACCCTGAGAGCTATACCAGCGGTAGCGTAGCTACTGGCAGGGCCTCCCTAGCTGGACAGGTCAAAGGGTAGGCATCAGACGAAGAGAGACACCGAAAACTGATGCCGGAAGCAGCGTCATCAGCGGCGACTGGAAGCACAGAGAAAATGATGCTCGGGATGGTTCAAGTTCGTATAGCAACAGGCGTGACCAGAGTGGTTTGAACGGCTGTTGTACTGCGATGTGGAAAGCAAATGGAAAAACTACCACATTATCACTTTTCCTGGATAGTCTCTTTCCAAAAACAGAAGATCGCATTAAGTGGAGAAACTGTTTTGGAAGAGGCTGTGGACCTGTCATCTGACAGATTACTGATGAATGAATGAATGAAAGTAGTCATCATTTAAATTTTGTTCGTCGATCTGTGTAGATCAAAGTCGTTGCAGAATACAGGAATCTGTTCTGAAGCAACAGAAAGATGTCCCATGGATAGTGGGGATGACTGCGCTCGAGGCTTTCCCCTCTCTACTTACAGCTGTATTCCCCTTCATCCCTCTCTGCCCTGTGTCATCAATCCAAAAGCCCCCGTCTCAAATCTGAGGCTCCGGAAATAAATCCCATGTATAGTGGGGATATTTATGCTGAGGATTTTCTTTTTTTACTCACTGCGTACTGATATATTTCCCTGTAGCTGCCTCTGGCCTATGTCAGCAAGGCCAAAGCGGTTGTCACTGTAGTGACAGAAAATAAAGAAAATTTCGTGGAAATGCGGAAGAGGAGAGGAAAGTAGATGAAGTTACGAATGTTTGTATAAGAAATCCAGAGTCTTTCCGTTGATTTTTTAACGGCCATTACACATGTAATAAAAACAACATGATTTGAGAACGCCCTTAAAACAAGATTTTAGAAGCAGAAGAAGAAGAAACAGCTTCTGTCTCGACTGAATTGCGTATTTTAAGTCATTTTAGTATGAGTAACAATAAAAAACACATGAAATTTGTGCTTTAATGGTCTGCAGCGTAGCCTAATGATCAGTGGTGTCCGTTCGTGCAGACGAAGTTGCGGAATGGGGCACGCCGTTGCTGTTACTCTGAGACCCGTTTGTTCTGTGAGGAGTTATGGCGACCGGGATTGTTACTCTTTTAGCATTATTAAAGAAGCTGACTTGAAGAACCGTTGAGCTCTGAGGCTACATAATTACAGAATCTCGAAGCGAAAGCAAAGTTAAACGTGCTGTAGCAGTTATTAAAAAGAAATCGGATGAAACGCGATGTGGTAATTTTATAAAAGCCTTTAATTTGCTTGTCCCTTATTACATTTTAAGCTAACGTGACGTCAGCAGGGTCAGTGGCCAGATACATTATTGTAGCGTGAGATTTTGCATTGTCATTGCGCAGCTTGGGGTTCCCATAGCAACGAATTGTTGAGCGATTAACAGGTTGCATGAACGTGAGTTACGTAATATGTCACGAAAGAGCGAGCAGTCGTATGTTTAAATATATCTTGTCTGTTCAGTGAGTATAGATAATACGGTATTTTGATTTACGATTTATTGTTTATGCTTGTTATTCGTGGGTGATTGCGTTAAATGTTGACCTCGACGTATCATTCGATATTATGTTCGACTGGAAAGTAACACCATAGAATGGCCGCGCCATAGCTCAAGCGGTTAGTCGCTGGCTTCCCACCGCGGCGGCTCGGTTTCGATCCCGGGTCTGGTCATGTAGGATTTGTGGTGGACAGAGTGGTGCTGGGGCGGGTTTTCCCCGAATACTTCAGTTTCCCCTGTCAATCTTCATTCCACCAAATTATCCATCATCGCAATCACCCGGGGCAGGTACAATAGGCCAAGCAGTGGCCGCCATGCCGAGTGGACCCAGTTGGACTCCACCCCCCACTAAGGGAATTTTAACACCATAGAAAATAAGGACGTTAATAGTATAGAAGAGCATGTGTAATAAACGCTGATACCTCCCGTTGAATGACAACGGGTGTCACATGGACTTGAAATTACGACATGTGTTATGAGTGAGGCAGTTTTTTTAGAAATTTGCAGTGAGCATATTATCGATGTTACAGCTTTCTTGAATATGACCCCATATAGTTCGGCAGGTGTCTACTAAAGTACTCGGCTTCATAAGCCAGAAGATCGACCAGTTCACAGAGTAAGGCATGATAGGAACATTGAATGTAACAGGAGACACGAAGTTTGAAATTTGTAATGTTAAATTCGAAATCCTCGCACAAACCTATGGGCCTCCGCCGCCTGTTACAGGGATAGATTTACCTTTTTGTTTTCTTTGCTGTCTCTGCTTCTGAACATCAATACATCGTTTTTCACGGGGCAAATGTGACCTTGTTGCACAGAAGGTGTATCTGTCGTGTGAAGCATCAGCGGGCGATGTATTTCGCGTCAAAAGCCCTCAGACCTCTTGCCGCTGCGATAGAACAGCTCTGTCTGCGGGAGCAGTTGCGCGACGGGCAGTCCGGAGTGACAGTCTGCTTGAACGAGGATTCTCGTGCAGCGAGAAATAATTTATTTTAAAACAAGTGAATGAACAGAACAGGTTAGTACGGCGGTAACCCTCTAGACATGTTCTAGAAGTGCTTGGTTCGAAACCAGGCCGGGTAAAAAGATATCCTGAAATTTTGCATAGTTTTTCTGAGTCCTTCCAGACAAATCCCGGGGTATTTCCTCTATTTTTCCACGACCCCTTCCTTCCAGATCATTTTCAATTCATAATTCATTCCCTCATTCGACGCTAAGTGGTCTGAAACGCTGGTCGTTGTCAAGTTACCCACAGGAGGAAGGCGAAGAATTGCTTCCTGCAGTTGTTTCCTGTACTAGACAAGTTTTATATGAAGTCTGTCGTCTGGAGTATGACGTGGCACCTTGTAGTTCTCATGGATTGGTACCAACACTTCGGGTGTACTTGCTACCTCCATTATAATTATACTTGGAGAAGAGTACAAGTTATGAAGCTCCTCATTGTGAAGTTTTCTGTAACCTCCTGTCACTTCATCTCTCTTCGACCCAAATATTCTCCTCAACACCCTGTTCTCAAACACCCTCAGTCTGTGTTCCTCCCTTAATGTCAGAGACCAAGTTTCACACCCATGCAGAACCACA